TAGGAGTTCTCACATGTGATGGGATATTGGTAATTCTTTTGTTTGAGTAATGGTACTGCTGCAGCAAAAGGATATTTTTAGAATATATTTTTCCTAAAAGGAATCATAGCTGAACGATCCAAAGGGGCTATATTTATCTGCAGTGACATGCATGCAATCCCAAAAGTGCCAGTACAGGTTGTACTGATAGAAATTCAGAACAGAATTTGTCCCTTGAAAGTAGCTTTTCATTGGATTTTCTCTCGTACATTTCACTGGATTGGAGAAGCTGGAATCAAATCATATAGCCATGCCCCCACATTATTAATTTGATTTAGGAAGAGCATTTACCCTCCAGTCTTTTACAGGGAGCTGATGCCAACCAACCAATCAAAAGTAGATCACTTTGGAAGAGGAACAAACTTGGAGCTGTATCTGAAGGTAAGAAACAGCAGAAAAGCACCATCCAATATAAAGAGACCACTACGTCTCACCAATATTCCTGCTTCCCTACCTTTTCAAAGAGGAAAACATGACATATTTTGTAAGAAGGGAACATTTTAGATGAAACTTTGCTACAGATACCAAACATAAGCACACTTCATACTGCTTAGATGTATTTCTGTTTTAAAGCAATTGTCTATGAGGCTGTAGTTTATTCAAGGCTGTAGTGTATTTACTTCTGTTGTAGGTTAAGAAGGAAGTGAATTTTTTGGGAGGTTGTGGTCAAACCAATCAGTGCTTGGATTTGAATATTGGCACCTGGTTTGGCCACTGAAGGTATGGACTGCCTCTGAGAACATAGCGGGTTAAAAGAGCAGAGAACTGAAGATTTTAACCCCTTTTTAGAATAATGGAAAACTTACAAATACTGATCCTTCTGAATCAGAATGAGGGGAGAGAGATGAAATGCCATTGTGCCAGCCTCAAACCATGACAACTTGTTACTTACTGCAAGATAAGGAAGTATCTTAATGTTCTTTGTTTTTTGAAAAATAGTTGAGGACAGAAGTGTAAATTGGGGTGTTAAACTACAGTTAACAAAGAATTTAGAAGGCTCCACAGAGGGATCTGGGAACAAGGGGGTTGAAGGGGAACCTCATCACTCTCTAAAACTACCTGAAAGGTGATTGTAGCCAGGTGGGGATCAGTCTGTTCTCCCAGGTAACAAGTGACTGGATGAGAGGATATGGCCAGAAGTTGTACAAGGAGAGGGTTAGATTAAATATTAGGAAAAATGTCTTGACTAAAAGGCAGGCAAAATTGGAACAGGCTGCCCAAGGAAGTGGTGGAATCACTGCCCTGGAAGTATTCAAAATACATGTGGATGGGTCACCTGGGGACATGCTTGAGTGGTGGGTTAGCAGAGCTGGGTTAACGATTGAACTCAATGATCTCAAAGCCCTTTTCCAACATTAATGATTCTATGGTTCTGTGATTGGTTTGCTTACCTCAGTGCTACTCTCCTTTTCCTATGGGAAACATGAAGAGTTTCTTTGGGCATATACAGCTGTGCACAAAAATCTCAGTTCACTGGCTTTGGGGAAAGTCAGTGAAGATCACGTTATGTCTGGTAGTGGAAACTATGATCAAGTGTAACATGAAGGACTGTGTTAGAGCATCAGAGCTCTGTTTATCTTGACCCGGCCTCTTTTATTTTAAAAGCTATTAATGAACAATTCTAGGGAAAATTGGCATTTAAAAACCATGACTTACTTTTACTTTACAAAGTCCTGATATGACTTTGCTAGAATGATGTGCAGAATATATTTGACTCCTTTTATTTTAAAATAAACCTAGAAACTCTTTAGTTGAGTTTAGTTGCAGCACAAATAGCGAATTAAAGCACATTATGGGTTCAATTTACTTTTCAATCTTATTCACAGTACATCAGTAATCTCTGCTTCTCCTCTCTTGGACTCTCTCTTAATGCCTGTGGGTCAAATGCTACTGCAGAGGCTAAAATACAAAAAAAAAATCAGCAACACTGCTAAATATATAATTAAAAATATTAATATTTAACCTTGCATCTTTTTTCACCAGAAAGATAATTTTAAAATTAAAATGATCTAACAGTATCCTATTGGATATACAGTTAGATATCCTTTCCAACTCAGAGAGGATATTTGTCCAGATACTGGCAGGGATGTAATTCTTTTGTTCACCAAAACTTCTCATTTGTGTAACTCTGCTCTTTCCACCTTAGGTGCTCCTGATCTACAGCAGAGGGGGAGCACAAATAGCAATGAATGCATAATATTTTCTCTATTCTTAGAGGCACAAATATAATTTATTAGTTATCAGCACTGGGAATAATTAGATGGATATACACTAATACACATCTTGTTTCTCATTTACATATGTTCTTAGAAAAACAAAACAATGATTCCCCCTTGCCTTATAGCAATAGGTCTAAGAGACTTAAGTGTTCCTCTTTTTCAAACAGGTTGTGTCCCTTGTGGACCAAATTGCTGTATTTTATGCTAGAGAAGGCATAACCCACATTTTTGTTTTGTCAGTTTGAGGGATATGCACACACCTAAAACTCTCTCTCTATTTCCCAGCTTAGTGATCTGTGAAAATATGGGGGCTCCTTTGCTCTGGCTGAAATGAACTGAATCACTGAGTAGCTTTCAAGGAAACTAGCTGAGAGCTTATTACTTCTTGCATGACAAATAAGGTGAACAGCAGCAAGAACACTGACTTGGCATGGCCAGAACCAGCCCCTGTGGACAGGCATCCAGCATCAGGCCACCTCCATACATTTGCCTGTCTTACTGGCCATGCTGCAGACACTTGGCATTTTCAGCATCTGCCCCTCTGCAAGGCCTCTCTACCTGGTTTCTGTCAGCAGGACTGTCAAGTTCTGGGAAAGGTGTTCATTGTATTTACAAACTCGAGATTCCAGACTTAATGTGTTATCTACAGTTTCCCTCATAAGCTTTTTTTCAGCAGAATTCTGATTGTTTAGTGGTCAGATGAAGACAAACCTTCTGGGAGAAGAGGAGGATGAGGTTCTCTGAGGGCCAAGTTCTCATCACTTTATACCTCCTTCATGAATTTTCACAGCCAGTAAGAAGAAATCAGGGAATGTGAAAAGCAGCTATTTTGCTTCAGGCTGTTCAGATACTGCTTCAATTAGGCTACCTGCTGACTCCTTACTATCACATTTATTCCAATGGCTCAGAGGACCTGGATGCTGAATTAAAAGGGTTGAATATCACAGCCTAGTTCTTCTTGTCAGAACAACCACTAGGTCCTGATTTGACATTATCATAGAATTATAGAATGGTTTAGGTTTTAAGTGTCTTTAAAGATCATCTGGTTCCACCCCCCCCGCCATGTACAGGGGACCTTCCACTAGACCATGTTTCTCAGAGCCCCATCCAGCCTGATCTTGAACACCTACAGCCCACACCTTCTCTGGGCAACCTGTTTCAGTATCTCACCACCCTTATTATAAAGAATTTCTTCCTAATATCTAATCTAAACCTACACTCCATCAGCTTAAGGCCATTCCTCCCAGTCCTATCACTACAAGCCCTTGTGAAAAGTCCCTCTCCAGCCTTCTTGTCAGGATCTGGACAGTCTACCTGGACCCTTCTCTTTTCCTTTTCCAGGCTCATCCTATTTTTTCCTTTTGAACGGCAAGTCATTTTCAGCAGTGAAAACTGGAGGATTTCCTTAGCATAGGACTGTCAAGAAGGTCATAGATCTATGACATACTGATTATGTGTGAAATGGTTTGGGTGCTTCTGATTTTGGACTGGACTAAAAACCCCTGCAAAGAGTATGTCTTGTACCTTCTCCCTATGGGACTTGTTTTTACTACTAAGGGAGACAGGAGATGTTGGGATAATACTCACTAAAGTCAAGAGACTTGTCACTCACCATGCCAGTGATCCAGCATTAATCAAGTAGGTCAAGGTCAACTGAACCCAGTCAGTAGGGTTGACAAGAAGTGGGGTGCTGATGGTATGTGGATTATTACTCAACTCTCCTTTGGACGAAAAAGAAATCAAAAGAAGAAAAACAGACTCCACTTGGGCTCTTTGATCTTAGAGCAAAGGGAAGTCTCATTCACTTAAAAAGTCAATTAAATGCCATTCTCCCCTGCTGCCTTACTGGGAACTTGAGCTGTTTTTGAAGCTAACAGCATTCAAAAACAGCAGCTGTTTTTGAAGGGCCAGAACTGGGTGTAGTAGAAGCATGATGGATGTTGAGAAAGTATCCTCAGAGCAGTTCCTGCAAAACACCTATAGCCAGTCCTGCATTTCCAATTCACTTCACCAGCCTCAGCAGCAGTAAGAGAAGGCACTTCTCATTCACTCTAAGGCTTCCTTTATTGCACTTATGCCTTGCAGAGAGGCCTTGTAAGCTTGAATTTATGTTCTATTTAATGGCCTTTTCCATTACCAAAGCAATATGAAGAGAGCTTTAGCAAAAGTGAGAATCAAGCTCAAGGAATGCAGGACATTGCATGCTTCAACAAAAGGATGTGTGCTACAGTCTGCTTTTTCTCATCTGTATCACTTCATCGGGTGTTTTGAAGGAAGCCTTTCAAGCATACTGAGATAGATTCGCTTAAACATTGTCAGCAGCAGTTTCCAGATCACGGTGACTGCTATTCTTTTTGCAAAGGCATATTGTAGCAATATATGAAGCTTGAATCTACCTGTAACATTCAGATATTATAGTTGTTTCCAAGTACCAAATAAGTATTTAAAAGATGGGAGGAAGAACTGCCAAAGAGAATTTAACATTTTAAAAGATAAAGGGGATAATGTTTGAGCTTCTAAATTCAGAATGACCTGACAAGCAGTTTAAGCTACATTTGCAGTCATGCTGCAAGTTACCCCACATTTTACAAGATCAAGTCTGGAAGTCCAACAAAATCAGTTTACATTACAGGCAGTCATTGTGAAGACCTAGGCCTAAATTCTTTGATAAGTGTTTTAGAATTATGCCTTTGCTTTACTTGAAGAACTATGGTTTTTTTTTTTTTAATTGGCATCATTCATTCATTCATTCATTCACAACTTATTTTTAATTCACTTCAAATTTATTAGACCTTATAAAAATTGGCATTTCAAAGATAATGCTTTGATTTAGGGAAGGATGAAAACTGAAGGATTAAAATTTGGATAGTATTTGGATTTTGGTGGATGTAGATCCTGATTCTTATTTAATGTTTACTGGCATATCTCTCTGGTATCAAAAGTATATTCCAGAATATGCTACATCTTGACTACAGTTCACCAGGTTTACAATGGCAAATTAAACAGCTTTTCCCCAGACCTCAGATGACAAATGAGCAGCTACATATTTGTAAGCCGGGTAAAATTCTTCACTAGTTCCTCATATGGGAGAATATTCTTTGATACCAAAGATCTCAGAAAAAAATGCTCCTTTACCCGAAGAAAAACCTTCAATCCTTTTGTCTAGGTTCACCTTCCTCATTTTCTTCTGCATTCCAGTCTCCAGAACCTTTATCTTCTGTATAGAATTAGTGTGTCTAAATGGCAGATACCAGTTCTCCCTCCCTGTGTCTTGGGCTTTGTCTTTTCACGTCTTGATTTATACACCAGCATTGCTGTTACCAATGTGATTATTAGAACAATATTTGTTAATGAACTTGTGCTCCTTCTCCAACCCCCTGAACTACCCAAACAAGTTGGTAACAAAGAAAGATGTTACCATATACAAGACTCAATTGCTCTGGCACTCACCTCAAGGTCTTTCTATGCTGCATATTGCAGCCAAGAATCTGGGCTTCAGCATTTAGGATCTGCTGAACAGCACCTTGCAGGGCACAGAAAGATTCTGAGACTGAACCACCTGTCAGGTTTTTTCCCCCAATAAATGGTAATGGAACAGGCACAGAACATATCGATGAAGTTACCTGTACTAAATCACAGGTATCTGATAGAGAAGCCGCATGTGTAAAGAACATGCAAAATTGTATATGGAGATCTACCAAGTCAATACCCAGAAAGCTGTCCAGCATAAAAGAATGGTCTCATGTGAAATGCTCAGTGTTCACAAGCAAAAAGTTTTGTAAACTTAAGAAAGCTTAATTTAAATATAGACACAAGTAAAAGCTAAACTTGCAATTTTTTCTTTTTTCCTTTTTGCATATTTTTGTTAGGTGCTTCTTCTCTGCCTAAAATATGAAGTCCAGAGTGCAGTTGGTCTAAGTCCTCACATGGATATCAAGCAAGACAAAGATAGTGTCATACACTGATCCAACTGAACTAAGGACCCACGTACTTTGGGAGTTGGCTTTGGGGAAAAAATTCTTACACAGATACACAGAAGACAAGTAGGGAGAACACCAGTCCAAACACAATAAAACAAAATACAAAACACCAACATATATATGCAGATCAGGAATCAATCTTTCACACGGATCCTACATTCCTTTCATAGCTTTGTCTATGCAGAGAATGCGGGATGTGGCCCTTCACTCAGACTTTTTGCAAATGAAGGGAGGATTATTTGCAATGGTAACATTTTAAGTTGTTTTGGCATCAGCACAAATTATTGGGGGCAGGATCAGATTCCCACACAAATATGGAAGCTCTCTAGCGAGCAAGGCAGGGATGAGAGAACAATACAGCAGATAAATTCTTGTCCAGTGACCAAAAAGAAGGGAAATCCTAGTCATTACACACTTCAAAACTTTCATTACTTTTTCAAATAAAGACTACAGTTTATATCATCCCCAAAAACAAGGGAACATTGCTAGAAAAATCTCTTTCTCAAAAGGAAATGTCCTTCAGCAGAAATAAATTCTGAGATGGAACCAAAAAAGAAACAACAGAAGCTTGGTAAGAGCCAAAAAGAGAACCATGTAATTCAAAAAAACAAAGTAGCAGTTCAAATGATACTGCAGGATGCACAAACACTAGTAGATAATCTCACAGATGACTTCACAGAGCCCCTCATCGACCCAGGTAATTCTTGATTCCATTAGAAAACAGAGAGAATAATACTAGAAAAGAAAATTAAGAAAACATCCTTCCTCTTTTTTAAAATAAAAAGCAAGATCATCTCCCCTCCCCCCCTCTATCTGGAAGCAGGTTAGCTAACCTTAACAGTCTCAATTTAAAATAAAATATATATTTTTATATATATTCATATATATAATAAAAGAGGAGATATTAGTGGCAGTGTATGCAAAACAAAAAAAGAAAACAAAGAAAAATTACTTTTAACAATCTCACTTTTTTGTATTTTTTACACAAATACTGTTGTAAATATATTAAAAAAATCAGCATTCTATCTGGTAAACGTCACTTTTGCCCCTCTATAAAATTTTGAATTAAAAAAGTCCCAACAACTCTTTTTTTTAATTATTATTCCCCTCCCACCCTCTATTCCTCTTTCTTCCACAAGAATAAATCCTGATGCAACTTTTTTTTTTTTTTTGCAAAGATTGTGGGAACTAACCCTTCTCTTGTACCTAGATCCATAGGTTGCAACCTCTGATATCTTTGATTTTCCTCTGTGTTTCTCTTTGCCTTCTGTGAAAGTCCCTCTTGATTGTGCTGAGGCCCTGTGCTCAGCGAAGACACTGAATAAATTACAAAAAAGCCACCGTTGCTCGTTGTCTGAATCTTCTTGGTTTCTGCTATAAGGTGGTGGTGGTGGTACGAGAAAAGCAGCGGGGAGGGTGCGCCGGACAGTGAGGGATGGAGCAGAATCCAGGTGAGGAACCTCTGATTCTTTTTCCTCACCCTGCAGGGACTCCACACTATCCAAGCCGCACTGCCTCGCATTCCCCTCAGCCCTTTTTGTGTGTTTGTGGATGCGTGTGTGTGTGAGAAAGCAGACGTGGTGGAAACCAGCAGGGCCTTGTTTCCTCTGGTTGCTGCTCAACCAGAAGCAAAATATTCCACAGTTCTAACTGGATACTGTGAAGTCCAAAAGCGGTCAGCAATGTGAATCATGTCCATTGAAACACTGCAAGCGGTGTACTTATAACGACAGTAGGCCTTGTAGATTTGTAATATATTTTGTTTTGTTTCTTTATTTGTAGTGCTCTTCACAAGTGAGAAAAAAGATTTTTTTTTTATTTTTTTTGTCTGTTTTTTAAAATTTTTTTTGTGGTTTTTTTTTTTTTTTTTTGTTGTTTGCTTTTTGTAGTAAAGAAGGGTTGTATTTAGAGGCCAGTAGCTAGAGATCCAACCAGTGGAGCTCATGAAGCACTACCTGGCCTTAAGGCCACCATCCGAGGGAGGTTGGGAAAATTATTATTCACCCAGCCTCCGGAAATGTAATGTACCAGCAGGCAAAAAACAGTTTTCCATGTAGTACAAAAAACAACAAAACGAAATGAACCCAAAAAAAGGAGGAAAATAAAGGTAAAAATGAAACAAAAATAATTTCTTAAATTCTAGTGCCATAGCTTTTTTTTTTGTTGTTTCTATTTTTGTTGTTCATAACAAAGAGAGAGAGAGAGATTCTACTTATCCGTCTGACACATGCATCCTCATGTGGTCGTTGAAATGCTCGATTTGGTCAAACTTAGCTGGACAGACAGAGCAGACGTACGTGGTCCCCTCCGTGCAGGCCACCACGCCGGCAGGGACAGCCCTCGCGCCGGTGCCAGTGGCTCCAGGCGTGCCGTTGGTGGCACTGTGCAGAGCCACATGCCTCTCCAGCAGGGTCTTGTGGGAGAACTTCTTCTTGCAGATGTAGCACTCGTAGGACTTCTCCCCGCGGTGGAGACGCATGTGCACATTAAGGGAGCTCTTCTGGGTGAAGCGCTTGTTGCAGATGCTGCACTGGTAGGCCCTCACGCCAGTGTGTGTCACCATGTGTTTGATTAGGTAATCCTTTAAAGAGAAGGAGCGCCAACAGATGCTGCATTGGTGCGGTTTCTCACCTGCCCATTGCCAATGAGAGAGAGACAGAGAGACAAACAGACAAAAAAAAAATCATAAAATTAAACCAGTTCAGTAGAACTCTTTGCAATAAACTAATGGTAAGTCTCATGGGGGTCTTTGGAGAGGTGCTCTGGCTAGCAAAGAGTCAGTCTGTTAATCAGGGTTTTGACACACAACATTTTTTGCAACCCGAACTTTCAAAATGCTTTACAAAGGGGGTTCTAGAAATTCCCCATGTAAATACAGTAAAAAGGAGCTCAGGTGATTTCTTCCAGTTCACACAGTAGGTGGACGCTGACAAAGATAGGGCTAGAGTTAAAAGGTCCTGGCATCTGCACCCAGTTTCAATGGCACAGCCTCTCCTGTCTGTCCTCCTGTCTTGCTCCTCATGCTCATTTCTACACAGGAAAGTCTCAGCCATGCTACTTCACCTTCCAGTGCTTCTATTTCCTCACCGGCATGCAATAAAACCAGGGACAAATCAGTGATTACCAGACAGCTGACCTGGGCCAGACTCATTTCAGTCAAATTGCTTTCAATTTCTCAGGAGAGAAGAGACAGAGATTGTCAGAGGAATCCAACACTTTATAAGAGGTTTACATTTGTTGCTCCCTTTTCTGGTCAAATGTCATAGCTGAAGCATGTACAAGTAGTACTGGAAAAGGGAACCTCAGAACACAGAATTGCCTAGGCCAGCCAGCACTATGCAAAGGGCAACCTAACAGATAAAATCCCAGTGTAAGACATAGGAAACTTGAATGATTTGACTGTCAGTTAAATCAAACACCTTACGAGGTAAACGAGGGAGATAAAACATGTATGTAATCTTCCACATTGCCTTGTGTTCCCAGGACTGTTGTAAAACTTACTACAGAAATCCGTATAATTGAACTCTGATTATGTTCAGACAAACCAGTGACTACAAGGATAAACTGGGAAAAATGCTTAGCTGAGCACATGTACAGTTTTTTTCAGACTACTCTTAAATCCTCCTCATGCTCAGAGTTCTGAAAGATAAGGCATGGTCTCATGTTTCATGTTGTCAAGCAATGTTTTCATGATATGCTGCTGCACTGGTAATGTAGGCAACAACCAATGCTCCATCAAAAGCTACTTTTTAATTTGCTTTCTAAATCACTAATGGTATATTTCATGTGTGGAACTCATCATCCCCAAAGCTGTCAGGGACAGCGATGATACCACAGCTCTGTAAGAATCAAAATGATCCTGTTTCCCTGACTGAGAAAATTATTTTCCTGTGGTTATTCTCCAATTTCCCCTCTTTTTTTTTATTCTCCACAGACATCCTGCTTCCTTCTTTTTACAGTCTGTTTGGCACTGTTGTAACTCCTGAAGAGTCAATCTTCAGGGACCAAGACATGCCTGTGATAATATATAATTCACTCATTGTATAGTGAGATTACCATATGCTACTTATACTCAATTTTAAGAGAAGATAATTAAAATGGATGTGAAAGACCTACTTTTTTTTTATCTCCCCCAAGTCTCTGTTTCTCTTTATTTAATGGTTTGCATGTATGATGGTGACATCCACTTGCTGCTCTTCCTTGTACTTTTGAGGAGTTTGTCCCTACTTGGTGAAAGACACTCACTCAAATTCACTTGCTTTCCAGATGGCTTTGCCACACACAGGACTGTGCTGTGTGTAAACAGGCCTATATGCATGACACGTGATGTGGAAAATGATAGTGTGTCAGTTCGAATAATGTCTGATTAACTTACAAGAGGCTGATTGTATTTATGGAGCTCATTTTTGCCTTGGGCAATGTATGTCCCAGAGTTCATAGAAAGCTGGTCTCCTCCACTCTAGATCCTGTTAAGATTGTGCTAGAAAAACACCTTAATTTTTGCCTGCTCATGTTTCTAAGATACACTGGGTTGTGGCTTTTTAATCTCAGCTTCAAAGCCTTCCTGGGATTTCTCCTCTCCAAAGAATTGCAAAACTTTAGTTTTTCTTTTTTGTATGCAAATTTTCGTGCTTCCTAAGTGAGCACTGTAGATTCTTTATTCCCATGATTCTTCATTTTCAAGCCAGAGAAAACTTTGCTCAGTGAATTAAATGTGCATGTTCTTCCTTTTGCTTCTTTATTTTGTATTTGGCTGGTATTAGACTGCAATATGGGATGATTAGAATAATAGAATCAGAGCATACCCTGAGCTGGAAGGGAAGAAGCAACGCCAGCACCTGGTCATGGTTCCCTTTTCCAGCCCCTGTGCTTCTGGTCATGTAGGCTCTGCAGCTCTTTGAACCCTAACCATAATGGATACTTGGTGCTGACATTGAGGTCATGGAATCATAGAATCCTGAGTTGGAAGGGACTCCCAAGGATCATCAAATTCCACCTCCTGGTCCTGCACAGCACCACCCCAAGAATCACACCATGAGCCTGAGACCATTGTCCAAGAGCTTCTCAAACTCTGCCAGGTTTGGTGCTGTGACCAATTCCTTGGGGAACTTGTTCTAGTGCCCACCAACCCCAACCGAAGGGTGAAGAACCTATTCCTAATATCTAATCTAAACCTACCCTGAGACAGGTGCATGCCGTTCCCTTGTGTCTTATCACTGGACAAGAGAGAAGAGGTCAATTCCTGCCCCTGCACTTCCCCTCATGAGGAAGCTGTAGGTCACAACGAGGTTTCCCCTCAATCTCCTCCAGGCTGAAGCCAAGTGACCTCAGCCACTCCTCAAATGACTTGCCCTCATCCCATCACTGTCCTATCACCAGATTAGAAAGGTGTGGAGGCAGCAATGTTGGTGCTCTGCTGTGATCCCCTTGGCATGTCTTTTCCAGCCTTTAATCCAGTATTAATCACAGCGTGATATGTGGGAAAAGCAATGGTGCCTTACAAAGTGCAGACAAGTGCATACACTCTAGCACTGTATTTCCACAATACTGGGGGATATATTGAAGTGAGTCTACATGGAACATGGAAAAATAGCAATCTCTAATATGTTGCACCCATGTAAAAGAAGAAAAGGAGGTCGTTTTCTGTTGCACAGAAAGCTAATCAGACTGTAGTTTTTGGAAGCATAAAAACATACAGAGATATAAGAGGCCTTTAAGTTACTGAATTCAGGTTTATGATTAGACTCTTCCATGACTTCTCTTGTGAGCCCCCCAAACAGAAAGATTAATTCAAACATCTGCATCTCCCAAACTTCTCATTTTTTCCGTGGATCTTTCCAGGGCCACTTTGCCTGGCTTCTTTCAACAGGCCTAAGGAAAAGTCACCCTGACAGTGGGAAGAGGGGTCTCCCCTCTATTTTTGTAATGATCCTGTCCAGCACGGGACAAGGTAGAACTTTATCTGAGGCTGCACACATAATGATTATTTTCAGGAGGGTTTTTTGGAAGCGTATCTCTCTGTGGGTTAAGGTGAAATTATTCTCCCAGGAGACAGTTAGCTCCTAAATGAATTTTGAAATGATTTATCTACCCAAATCTTTCCTTGCCACCACAGTTCATTTTTTAGGGCATTCTCAGACCCACACAAGTAAAATATTAATTCATGATTCAAGATGCCTATCAATTTCCTCGGTTGATATTACTTGTAGTAGCTAAGAATGTTTTAGATCAGGTCTTCCAGTATTATTCTTTATTTGACTCCAAAACCAAAATGCAGTTGTAGGGGAAATAAAGTGCCTAATCTCAGTGAAGTTATTTGTAAACCAGTCTTTTCAGCTTTTAGAACAATAATGCAAGCAGATATAGTTGACTGTGTTCTGAATACCAGTACTATCTATGTAGCATTTTAGCTCCTCATCCACAACAGAGAGATGGAGAACATAAACAGACACAAAGGTAATCTTGGGATTCAGGACTCTTGATCCTTGCAATTATACATTTCGTACCAGTCCTGAAAAGTTGATCTTTTTGTATATGTACATGTCTGCTATAGATGTCTAGAGGAGTTTTTCATTTAAGTGATAAATACGGGTAAGTTGAACTTAAAAGTTTACACATGGAATTGAAATTATTGCATCCAACAGAGAGGCATGTTGGGCAATGTTTCCAGGTTCTCCTCCATGTATCACAAACCCAGCATGTATTTTAAGATCTGATGTTAACAAAGCCACTGCTTGGAGAAAGAAATATTTACTCTTTCGCTAAACTAGAATGTCTCTTCAACAGCAGGAAGAGCCAAGGTCTAAAGCAAGCAAAGCAGTCCTGAACCCATGACAACTCTTCCATGTAAAATACATATCCTTGCTTTGAAGTCTCATAACTTGGCAAAGCTAGAAAAGGCAGTTTTGGCTCAGTGGCAAATATGGTTACCTGTGTTATCTCAACAGACCATAAACTATGTACTAAAGCAGCTGCAGTTTTAAACAGAAAGGTGCTGATGTCGTGTTCCACATATATTCTTTAAATATTTTCTCATTGAACCCCATGTTTCTGTACTCACAGCTAGTGATGTCTCTGACTTACCAAGAGACAAGGGATTACAGCAATTAGCCTCAGTAAAGTACAGAAAGACTTTCTGACAAAACCCCAGATTTACTTTCTTATAGTAGTATGTGAGATCTAGAAAATCTGTGGCAGTGTGTGTAACATCCAGGTCTGGACCTACTGCTGCAGCTCCACCAGTAATGAATTTGCCCTAACTGTCGCCCTGATTTTGTAAGACTTTGTTAAGCCTTCTGATGTTTACATTCTTTCAACAAACTTTCTCACACACAGTTCTGTAAATAACCTATGTTTTGCATTCTTTCATGGAGGTGGAGAGAATTGATGGACCCTTGGTCTGTCCAGGGGCATTAGAGAGGTGGCACTGTCACCCTCCAATCCACTGGCACCTTTGGAAAACTATAAATGTTGGAGTCAGAAAATAAAGGTTCTTCTTTTTTGTTCCCTTCGAGAGCAGCAGTGTCTGTGTCATCATTTCGTGCCTTATCACAACACCCTAACCTCACCATTACTTGAGCTTAATCCCCCCCATATCTGTAAAACCTACAGGAGGATGCCCTTTCTTAGTAGATACAATTTTTCTTATGACCTATTAGTTTCCTCTCTTCCACTTAATGTTGCCTGGTCAGCTTGCAGGGTACAATGAATGCTCACCATTTCCTTGGAAGGATGCAAGACGCATTTTACTCCAAGAGAAATGAACTTGTTTCTGCACCATGCACAGTTAGGCCCCTATTTGGGATCTGTATTTTTTCTGCAGGGACTCAACTTCAGTGCAGTAAGGCCAAGAAGTGTTCAGTAACACCAGCTCCCTGGATAAGCCCTCCCTCCTCTTTATCCTGGGGACTGGCAGGCTGGCAAACAAAGTGTAAGTCCATGGTTGTAAAGGGCTTTCTGTGGCTCCACATGCAAGCCAAAGGGAAGCACTCTTACCTGTGTGTACAAACATGTGCTTGACGTAGTTCTGTTTGGCGGTGAAAGTCTTGTTACAGAGAGTGCACTCGTAAGGCTTTTTTTCGCCTTGCCCACCCGCTGTGCTGTGGCCCGCAGACGGGGCCAAGGGCTGTGGGGCTGGCAGCTGGGCAGTAAAGGTTGACAGGCCGGGCTGGGACACTGTCACAAACTGTGTCTGTTGGCCAGCTAAAGGCTGGGGCAGGCTGAAGAGAAAAGGCTTAGGGCCACTGCCAGCAGACTGCGTGGTGAAAAGGGCAGGCAGGTAGGTGTTGCCAGCTGTTCCAATGACCTGAGTGTTGCTGGTCAGAGTCAGTGGCATCCTTAGATTGCTGGTGAGGGTTTCTGTCTGGCGTAAGTAGATCTGTGTGGTTGGCAATGGCTGGGCAACAGATGTGTTGACAGAAGGCTGCAAAGCCCCCTTTTCGGTGCTGTTATTGACTGTGAGCACTTTGCTGTCCATTTCAACATCATTGCTTCTCTCTGGTGAGGAAGAGTTGGCATCTACATGTTGCTGCTGCTGCTGTGGCTGAGTGCCATCAGCAGGGACATCATTTTGATCTGCTTGAGTAGGTTCTTGCTGCCCATCCCGGCCCAGACCAGCCATAAACTGCTGCTCCATGGAATCAGGCTCAGTGCCAATGGAGGAACTGACACCCGAGTCAAAACTCTCCCCTTTGGGCTCGCTCTCAGTGCCTTCTGCTTGGTCGGTGTCCTCAGTGCATTCCTCAGACTCATTGCGCTCAAGGATCTGCACCCTCTGTTGGCCATAGTAGTCATAGTCATCCTCCATCTCCTGTTTAATATGGATGTTGCCCATCAGGGTTTGAATTCGGACAGGGCGGGGCTGCTTCCGGCAGTGTGTGGTCTCTGGAGTGGTGGAGAGGTACCGCTCCATCTGCTGCGACCGTTCATGGATCCGGGTAATCCAGCTGGGATCTTCTATGTGATGGTCCCTGGGGAGTCCCAGGGCTGTCTCATGGTGGCTGACCACAGCTCCACTGTAAAAGGAGCGCTCCCCACTGCCATTTTGCATGGAACAGGCATAGAGGGCTGAATAGATCCTGTCCACACTGTGCTGTGAATGGCTCTGCAGGTAGCCAGACTCTGTGTCAGTGCTCTGCCCCGAGGTGCCTGATTCAGGTGTTCCCCTGGGTGTCTCTTGGCCAGAATCCTGAATCACTGGGTAGACATCTCCCACGTTTTGTGAGACAATCCTTGTGCACTCATCAATCACAGTCTTGATCTGCAGGATGCTGGCGGCTGTGAGGATTTGGAGGGCCTCTGACTGGGAGACCCGCAGCACCCCGCTGTACATGAAGTCAATGAGCTTTTGCACAGACTGGACTGACACCACTGAGGGGATCTCGATGTCACTGTAGCCCAGCAGCAGCTTGTCCTGGAAGAAGGGGCTGCCAGCCGCCAGCACGCAGCGGTGGGCGCGCAGCATGCTCCCGTGGATGCGGACCGTCACGTCACAGAAGTGGCCACGGTTGCGCTGCTCGTTGAGGGTCTCGAGCACGGAATTGCTGAAGTTGTGAAGGTTGATGCTATGAATGCGCTCTGTCATCCCCTTGCAACTGATGTTACCTGGAGCAAAGTGGGTGACAAAAGCAAACAAAAAAAGAACAGATTGAGTCTTGTCCTCTGCAGGGCCACAGTGAGAGTGCTGGCAAAGGCAACTTCCCACTGCGTAAACAAAACTGACACACTGGAAAAACCACACACAGAGGCATCAGTAACAACACATCATTTTGTAGGGCTACAAGTAAACTTCCCTGCTCAATTCCAGAAGCTCAAGTCCTGAATCTTTGGACAAAACCAAATGAAGACAGGTGTAGCTGGACCTGAATTCCAATCACACTCCTGAGACTTGGACTTCCTATCAGTTTATCTGGCTTTAAAAAGCTTAGAGCCAGCCAATTGTAAACACTGAGCACATGGATTAAAGCTGGATTTTAAACTCTGGATTGGATTTATGCCAGAAGAGATCAGAATCTGTAATGACCCCAAGTTGTTAATGCAAAGAGTATATATGAAATAAGATTTCAATCTAGATTGGTATTTTAAGGAATTTAGATCCTGTGTTGCACAGCAGTTACTTGTATCAAAAAAACTAGCAGTCACTTTGTAAAATCCAAATCTGGTGCATGATTTAGGCTGTAAATGTTCCTAAAATCCCACGCAGAGTTTTGTCTGGGGTTGTGGTTTAGAACATTTGCTACCCAATAGTGACAAACAATTTTCTGAAAGAACCCAAAGCAAGAAGTTAACATGAGCTGTCCCCTTCATTTTTAGCATATCCCAAGTTCTGACTCGCACCAGAATGCCATCAAGTAGAAACAAATGTTCTCCTGCTGTTATTTACTTGACAGAAACTGGAAAATTACAGACATTTACTCCAAAGAAGATTTTGTCTTAGTTTGGCTGAATAATCTAAATAGAGAACAGTTTAGAAAAGCATCTAACCAATTTGGACACAGAGCTAACATAATCTTCAAAATTTACAAGTGACTGAAAAGAAATTTCTCAATCTGCCAATCCACTGTTCCCTATCTTCATCTTTCTTGCTTTGGTTTCAGTGATTTCCCATTTCCTTTCCTGTTCTTTACCAAATTTTCATATATTTGGATTTTGACAGGCAGAAACTATGGTATCACCTTTTAATTATAAAGAATCAATTGTCCCTTGAATGGTGAACGAATAAAACACTATTAATAATTCTTTTAAGCATGTGTAGTACATGCAGCACCTTGGTTTGTAGAAAATTAGACAAAGTAATGCTAAATCACCACTGGTATTACAGGCATTTTGTCTTGCATATTCCCACCAAAGATCTAACCACTCTTGCCACAGTAGCTTGGTAATGTGTGAGCATCCAAAACCAGAAGTTGTTAAATGTGAGTAAATTAAACTAGCTTATTGTCACTGTCTAACAAATGTACAGAGCAAATAAATAGCACTGGAAGCAGTTCATAGGCATACACAGGCCTTTTAGCCCAGCAATGTCTCTCTGCTCCACCCCAAGGAGTGCTTTACATCTCATCCACAGGCAGTCGAACACTGCTCATTGCAATTTGCAGGCAAATGTGGCAACCTCCCTGCTCTGCCTTTTTCTTCCCATTTATTCACTACCAACATCTCAAGCACCCTCTGTTCTGGTGTTTCCAAGAGAAACCACCTGGACAAAAGTGGTTACTTTAATTCTTTGAAGTAGCTGATGATAAAAGGGAAGCACAAAGGCCAGGAACAAAGGGGCCAAGCTGCCTGAAGAAGTCCCGTGTCAACAGATGTAAACCAATCTGTACCAGAAGGTCGCTAATTTCCATGTGTGATTAGCATGCTGAGGGGATGCTCACATAGAAGAAACAAGGAGGAAATCACCAACACCATGATGGAAGTTGTGAAATACAGCTCTCTTGTTTATAAGCTTAGGCAGGAAACCTGAATTTCTTTCTCTAATGGGACTGACCATAGGACTAGAAAAACATCTTAGAAATGGGGAGACTTTCCTTCAAGGGCATTGCAACTATTATTACACAAAATAATGTAGAGAAGAGATGTATTTCCTCCTCCTTCCTGACAGAGCAATTCTCCAGAGGCCTCCAGGGCAGTTCCAGATGCTTCCCTGCCAAACATGTCAGATCGTACAAGAATCTAAAATGTATTTACAGACAAAGTCAGAATCCTTGGCAAAAGCTTCATACCAGTGGGGCAACAGAAGAGTGGAAAATTATTGATAAATAGGTGACTTACTATAGGCCATAGCAAGTGATTGTACCCATTTATCTCCATCTATCTTTGAGGAGTATCAGTGACTACTTGGTTTGCTCCTAGGACTCACTTTCACAGAAACACATCTCTGTGTTCAGTTTTGTCAAATGAGGTATTTGATAATAAGAAGAAATATGCAGCAGTCTAACTCAATAACCCAAAAATCCTACCTTTAACATGCACAATGCCAGAGATGCTACAGACAGGTCACTTGACTTGAGAAAAGAAACCTACTTTGTTACTATGCTCCTTGGCAGGTAAAATTGATATTGTGAGCAGAACTCTGAAAAATGCATCCTTAGGACAACTCCTTTCCAGAAAGGCGTGACATGCATCATGAGACTGAATGACTTCCTGGGAATGTGAATTCCACCATTTACCCACATATATGTACAGAAAGGAGGAAGGACAAGGTTCACCTATAAGTTTCAACAGCCATTCTCAGGTCCTGGCTGTGGGAATCAAGAGTTGTGTAGCCACAGTGTATTTGGTTCTGCCATAGTTTAACATGGGTGGAATTTAGGGAAATCCTTAGGGAACTTAATGAAAACAGGCAGTTGAAATTGATCCTGGCTACAAAAAAAGAGATTTGTATGCATTTGTAAGAGTGATGTGAATAGCTCTCCTATAGGAACTGATCTAGGATGCTCCTCATGGTGTAGGAGCTGGTCTGAAAGCCAACTGAGCCACTTCATAAATGACATTTTTTTTTACTGCTATTACAGTTTGCCCTTAAAAAGATCCTCTCACTGCTGGAACATCTACCACTGCAACTGAGAAGCAACTGAAATTTACTCCTTGAGGATAAAAGAAGGGTGGTTGGAAGAGACACACAATAAATGGTAAAAAAGAGCGAATACAGATTTTGAGGATGATTTTTCTAGGCCACTTTCCTTGACTTCAACACTGTAAACCATATTTATCCAAAGTCCAGGCAAACAAATAATTTGTGTAAGTGTCAGAACCACTACTACACAAGTCACATCAGTATAAAGAGCAGTTTTAACAAATTCCAGGGATTGGTCTGTAGCAAAACTTGCTGTCCAAGATGGATCCTTTCCCTCTTTGCACGAAACCAGGTCCAGATCCAAGTTTTGTGGTTGACCCTACTTCATGCTGTTCTAAGCTGAAAGTCCAAAGGTGATGTTGCTCACAAAAAACAGACTTGCCAATGCAGGTTTGAGTCTAAGTAAATGCCACATTCTGACAAAGACTCCTAGAGCCTTGGACAAGCCAGAAAGTGTGTCAGCTCCTCACAAGGCCCAGCTGCACACATGCACACTCACCTACTTGTCACTGCACAGAATGCCCAGCTCAGGAAAAAGACTCCTGTCTAGGGCTCTCCTCAGGCCTGCCACTCTTTTAAACTCGAGACAGTGGGAAACTTTCTGTGAAATTCAAGTGGTCTTTGTTAAGTACTCCCCTTTTTTTTTGTCCAGTAAACATGATGTAGAGATCCCAATGGACTTATTCTGAGAAACTCCTGTAAAATGGTTTTGTCCCCTTTCTGTGAAGCAAGTTCTGATTGGAGGGGTATTCACAAACCATATAGGAAAGAATGGGTGTGAAAATGCAAAGGCCATTCTTACCCAGATGGGGAATGAATAGGCATTTGCCAGTTTAAAAAAAAAAAAAAAAAAAGGCAGAAAAAAAAGAAAGGAAAAAAGCCCAGACAACTGCACAGATTATGCACATTTGAAATCCTCCTGGGATACAATTTGAAGCTGGCATGGTATAAAGGTGAAACATATTACTGTGCAACTTTGAAAAAAGCTTCATTTGCCCGTATGCAAATGTACCGATTAAACTGTCAGCCTATTCATAGAAACATGCATGGAATTCATCCTCAACTAGTAAGAAGGAGCACAACGTGGATGGGAAAGGAAAAAACTTTTGTTGTGTAATACATGACTGAATGCTTAGATTAGTGTTTCCCTGAATCTCATCCACCCCTCCTGCTGACTTTTATGCTATGGGCATTCAAAATAAAGTAGGTTTTACCATGACAATAACAATGACAAGCTCTCCAAGTACAGTACCAAAGGGTAAGGCAATGGCAGAAGGAAACAGCAGGCAGTGGACTCCTGGAAGATGCTATAGAAAACTGGAAGTGCAGCAGTGAGGTACATCAAGCATGGATTGAGGCAGTTTTCTATTTGCCAGCGTAACCATACACAGACCTACATGAAGCTAGAAAGTAATGGCTCAAAATGGTGATTTTTTTTTTGTTTGTCAAAACCATAAAAAATTACCTCCAGAAAACACATGATGCAGTAGAATCAAAAAGAAGAACAGGATATCGAACACTGCAGGTCATACACAAATGGCTACGTTATACATTTGAAAATGCTTTTTGCAAGGTTTTTTTTCTGTACAGCCACTAGATGTCCCTTTCTGCAAAGCCAACTGCTGAAAGTCCTAATGCTCATAACTGAAGAATATCAGAGAATTTGATTTTCTCTAGTGTCTTTTAAAATCACGGTATCTCAAAGCTCATTGCACAGTAATGACTACCATTCTAGACACACAGTGGTGATGAACCCATCACAGTTACTGCAACTCAGCAGTAGCTCAGCACCTCAGCACAGCATTCACCTGAAGCAAAACTGCCTAGCATGCTGGAATCCAAGCTTTTTTGGAAACATACTGTGTGCTCATTCACAGGAATGACTAGCAGAGTGAAAGTATCTTGCTTTCATACTTATGGGGAATTGAGAATAATTGTTCTATATCCTTGAGAACTGGTGGGCTTGCTGACATATATACAGATTTAGTTTTTGCTTCAATCTTGCACTGAAGAATTTAGAGAATTGTCT